ACGAGAGTGATTGAAACGGAGGCAGCACAGGGCTCACCATCCCGGAATGCCTCGCTCGTGACTGCATCAACCAAGCCTCTCTCCCTCAAAACGTCCAGCAGGTTGGGCCTTGAGTGGGGACGATAATGTTGGATGATAATGGGTTATGATGGGTAGGGATGGGTGAAAGGGGAAAGGGAATAAAGCAACGAGGAAGGGGGCACAAGCCACTCTCCCTCAGCACGTCCCGCAGGTTGGCCCTTCAGGGGAGGGATGGGGGGGTGTGAGGGATGGGAGATGGGTAACGGTTGATGATGGATGATACGGTTGAGGAAATAAAGGAGGGGCACACGACTGTTCCCCTATCCCTCACCTGCTCACGCTCTCCTTCACTCCAGGCGAGGCTCGCTCCGCGACTACCGCGGCTGCAGCGGATCCCACGCCGCCATCTGCGCCGGCAGCGGCGGCAGCGGCGTAGCGACGATAAGACAAGGACGCGCCGCGGGACGCCTTGGATTTGGAGGATAAGATTCCAATTGATCTCGGCGCGCTCGGCACGTTCGAGAGAACTCTGGCGCCGCGGATGGGCGATAATGTGGCGCTTTGCGAAGCCACGGCTGCGGTACGCGAGCTATGGGCGAAACTGCTGATTGGATAATGCGCGGCGGGAATATTGAGCGACGAAGCGCGACGGCAATCGAGGCGTAATGCGCGGTGCGGGATCCGCGGCAATGCGCGCGATGCAGAGAGCCGCAGCATGGCGGACGGCGCAGCCATGATCTGCGCGGGAAGGCGGCAGCGCAGAGGGGTTCAGGGGAAGAGCGTTCTGGCGGAAACGCAAACAGTGTACGCGGCGATTTTTTCGCCCCCGGAGAAAAAAGTAGACGCGCCGCGAATGCTACCCGATCGTAAAGCTCCAGCCACCTATCAGGGGTGGATTATTTTGAGAAGTGATTTGAGTGCCACGTCATGTAGCCACAGGGCATCTGGCGTGGACACTGTTGCTCAGCCAAAATAATTAGGTCCCCGCAAAAGAGCGTTCTGCTATCTGCAAAAGATCGGTAAGGAGGGATACGAACTACTACTGTACTGCCCTTTTGCAGCGAATTCATTTGACTCACATTACTTTTTAATCTATCACTTTTTGCGTCTGTGCTACTTCGTTGTTGTCACAAGACCAGAACCCCAAGCGCCAACCCCGCCACCGAATTCTCACAAACCAAACTCTGAAGGCGTATTCCCCTCCACGTGTTTCGGCAAAACTATTCAATCCAACATCCCGTGGAGCTACGCACTCGGGGACTGATTGACACCCATAACTCACAGTTCGAATGTTTGCTCACTACACGACACGATAAGGAACGACCCCTCAGATTCCTTTCCAACAGATTCCTTCCCTCGCTGCAGCAGCAACAGATGCGCATGCAAGCATCGCCCCACCAGTATTGCAGCTTCCTAGCCAAGCCGACGAGTCGAGTCGACCAGTCGGTCAGCTAGCGATCCAGTAGACTCTCGCAAGTTTAGCGATCTGGTGGACGGTGTTGCTGTTGGATCGCTGCCTAATTTTAACACCACTTGCGACTCTGGAATCGGAATAGATCGGAGGCTTTAGGAATTAAAGGTTAGTTTTGAGGGGAAATTTGGCGTATTTTCCCATAACAGTACTGAATTTCCATAGGGCTTCTTTGAAATTTATTGTGCCTTTTTCCAGTCGTCGGAATTCTAGTAGGATCCGACTCCCAGCCGTTGCGTAGTGTTAAGAAGGTGCCAGAAGAGATTACGGAGAGTTCTCTATACACGTCTCTAAACATTTCCTGTTGGCTTCGACTGCTAGCCGTTGTGTAGTACTAAGAAGTGAAGCTGCTGGAGGTGTGGAAACGGGCTGCGCTTATCGTTTTTGCCTTTTGGCGCTCCGCTTCTGATTTGGAACGCTCCTTGAGCCGCGTGGAAACTCTCTAAGCAGTGCGAAAACGGCCTAAGCGTGCGATAACGGCCTAAGCCGTGCGAAGCGCCTTACGCTGTGCTTCGGCGGCTTAGAAACGTGAACGATCCATACCGGGATGACGTGGATTGTGGAATGGTTCGGTAGCCTGCCGACGCCGCTGCTGCTGCTGCTGTCCTGCGTGAGTAACTCACTAGCTTCTCATTATTTGAGGTATTTCGAATCAGAAAACACTTATTTTCGAGGCGCCTCTAAATTGTCTTTTTGAGGCGCTTAGAAAAAATGGTTTTTTTTTTTTTTTTTTTTTTTTTTTTTCAAGCGCCTCGGAAATTGTCCTTCTCAGGCGCTTCAAATATCGTCTCACTAACATTAAGGCGATCCTGAGGTGACCTGCGTCGAGGAATTTCCGATATCGATTGAAAGTCTGATTTAATTGTGTTTATAAGTGATTTCGGTTGAATTGAATGTCATGCAACCCTTGGGAATGTCATGCAACCCTTGGGAATGTCATGCAACCCTTGGGAATGTCATGCAACCCTTGGGAATGTCATGCAACCCTTGGGAATGTCGAATGAGACTTGTTAGGAGGTCTGCGAGATTAGCTTTCATTCTCTTCTCTTTCTCATTTGCGCAGTACCACTGATGCTCGTCGCTCTCGTCTAGGTTCTCAGTTTTCACCTCTTTGCCTATGTTCATTTCTTTACCAACACAGGCGCTCGTCGCTCTCGTCTGGATCCTAGCCCTCCTCATCTCGCGGCTCGTTCTTCTGAACGCAGGGATCAGGTGGGCTTCCTGATAGGCCCTGCAGATTGCTGCTAGAGCCAGCCACGTGGCACTTTAACCGCTTGATCCATCCACGTAGCACGTTGCAGTGTCCCTTCTTCCCTTTAAAGCCGTTGTGAGACTGTTTCTGAGGAGTTTCTGAGGAGTTTCCTGCAAAGCTCTGCTCATGGAGGACCCGACCTCAGTGGACAAGGCGCCGCTGCCCCTCCCCCCACTGTTTCTTCTCTGCTTACTTGGATCCTCTTTTTCCCCCTCAACTCCCTCCTTTACCAACAGCGGCACGGAGCAAGCCACACTGTTCATGGAGGACCCTCCTCTGTGGACAAGGCGCCGCGCCGCTGCCCTTTCCCACTCCCTGCTCTCTGCTCCTTAGCCAATCACGTGGAGTGTTTCCCTCCTTCTCCTTTCCCCCATCATTCCCCAGCGGCTCGGAGCACGATACACTGTTCATGGAGGATCCAACCTCAGTGGACAAGGTGCCGCTGCCCTCGCTGTTTGCTCCGGCAGAGAAGTACCTCACTGTGGTGTGCCCTGCTTATAACGAGGACAGCAGAATCGCCGCCACTCTGGATGAAATTATCAGGTGAAGAAGGCATGGGAGAATTCGTAATGGTGGCATTACGGTAGTGACGCTTCTTGTAACGAGGACAGAAGAACCAGTGCCGCTCTGGTTGAGATTATTAGGTGGGAGAGGCATGGGAGAATTCTTCATGTTGGCATTACGATAGTGACCCTGGTTATAATGAGGACAGACGACTCAGTGCCTCTCTGGTTGAGATTATCAGGTGGGAGAGGCATGGGAGAATGCTTGTTGCTCTTGAGAAGGGAAGGGTTGCATTGCCATAAGGAACCCACTTATACTGAGGAGGACAGACGTAACGTGTGAGATGGTATCATGCTGCAGTGCAGTTTGATCCTCATTGTATCCTGTGTTTTGCTCTCCCTCCCCGTCTTTCCTCCTACCCTCCCCTCCCCTCACCTCGCCTCCCCTCCCCTCGCCCTCCCCTTCCCCCATGCAGTTATCTGCAAGAGCGATCAGCTAAGGACGCTGCTTTCACCTACGAGGTATTTCCCCACACTGCACCGCACCACACCAAACGAAAACCAAATCGCACCGCACCGCACCATACGGCATCAGCCCACGCTGCACCACGCCACACCGAGCCACACCTGACTGCCCAGACATGCCCCTCCCCACCCATTAGGCTCACCCAATGCCCTGAGTGCAAATTCATATTGTGCATCCTTGCCTTCCCCCTCCATTGAATACCCGTCTTCCTGCGGTCACCCCGCTCCCCCTATCCCACCAGGTCCTAGTATTGGTTAATGGCAGCACGGACAACACTGTGGGAGTCGTGTTTGATGATGTGCTTGGGATCGACTGAGTGAGAGTGGTGAAGCAGAGAGTGCACCGAGTGCTGCATACACCCGTTGTTGATCCTTGGCCCTCTTCCTCCCACCACCACCACCAACACCCGTTGTTGTGCCGTCACCCCCTTCCTCCACCCCTCCCATCAGGTCCTAGTGGTGGACGATGGCAGCACTGACAACACTGTGGGAGTCGTGTTTGACTATGTTAAACGGCTTGGGATCGACCGCGTGAGGGTGGTGAAGCAGAGAATAAATCAAGGGAAGGGAGCGGCTGTTAGGAAGGTGTGTGTGTTTTGATAGGAAGGTTGGTATACAAGTTGATTAAAGGGAGGCCGGGTGAGGGTGATTTTAGAAGCAGCTTGGGATCGACCGCGTGAGGGTGGTGAAGCAGAGAATAAACCAAGGGAAGGGAGCGGCTGTTAGGAAGGTGAGGAAGGGTGGTGAGGGGTGAGGAAGGGTGGTGAGGGGTGAGGAAGGGTGGTGAGGGAGAAGGGCAGCGAAGGGTGTGTGGTGTGGAAGGAAGGGGAAGAGAGGAGAATGAAAGTGGGGAGAGGGAAAAGGGGAGGGAGAACGAGGGGAGATGGGCCGACTACTTTCACTGAGCCCCTTGGGATCGACCGTGTGGGAGTGGCGAAGCAGAGAGTCGACAAAGGGAAAGGGGCTAAGCTGAGAGTGCCAAAGGTGTGTATTGTATTTTTGAGAATTCTCAAAACTACCCTTCAGAGAGTGCCAAAGGTGTGTATGGCACGACAAGAAGCAGATGTTGTATGCACGCCGGTAGTTGGGGTGGGGAACGGTTGAAAAAGCTCCAGCTTCTCTTCTTTCCTAACCCCTTCTCTGTCTTGTAAAACCATTGTCTGTCGTTTGTTTTCCCCCCTCCTCTTCCTCTGTTTTGGGAATTTACCATCTGCTGCTCCCTGTCCCACGCTCTTCCCCCCCCTTCCCCCCCCCCGTTCCCCCCCCTCCCTCCCCCCTTTCCCCCACGCATCAAGATGCCCGCTGCTCACGCGGGAAGCTCATCCTTTTTGCTCCTTCTTACTCATCCTCCCCGCCAACCCCTCCCCCTCCCCTCCCCCCCTCCTTCTCCTCTTTCTTGTAAACCCATTGTTTGTTGCGTGTTCCCCTCCACTCCCCACATCATCAGGGCGCTCTATGCTCACGCGGAGAGCTCATTCTTTTTGCTCCTTTTTACTCTTCCTCCCCGCCCCCCCCCCCCCCCCCCCCCCCCCCCCCCCCCCTGTCCCCCCCTCCACTCCCCACATCATCAGGGCGCTCTATGTTCACGCGGTGAGCTCATCCTTTTTGCCGATGCGGACGGTGCAACGCGGTTCACAGATCTAGAGAAGCTGGAGAGAGAGGTGAGGGAGAGGGGAAAGGGGAGAGGTTGAGTGAGTGAGAGAAGGGGGAGAGAGAGAAGAGCTTATTTATGTTGCCGATGCCTATGGTGCAACGCGGTTCACAGATCTAGAGAAGCTGGAGAAGGAGGTGAGGAGAGGGGAGAGGGAGGGGAGTGGGAGAGTGAGAAAGAGAGTGGAAAGGCGAGAATGTTTGAGAGAGGGGGGAGGGAGGGAAGAGCTTATCAATATTGCGGATGTGGACGATGCAACGCGGTTCACAGATCTAGAGAAGGTGGAAAGAGAGGTGAGAGAGGGGGGAGAGAAAGGTTTGAGAGAGAGGAGTGAGTGAGGGTCTCTTTTAGCTCACCTTGTGCAACATTGTGGTTCACAGATCTAGAGAAGCTGGAGAGAAAGGTGAGGTGGTTTTTGAGAATTCTCAAAAACCAGCTGGAGAGAGAAAGGTGAGGTGAGGAGCGAGGGAGATCGGCGAGCGAGAGCGAGCGGCGAGAGAGTGGAGTGAGGGCTTCTGAGGACTTACCCTGTGCAGCATTGTGGTTTACGGACCTAAAGAAGCTGGAGAGAAAGAAAGGTGAGTGAGAGGGGAGAGAGTGTGAGAAAGAGGGGAAAGGCGGTGTGAGTGAGAGAGAGGGGTGTAGGGAAGAGCTCGTTCTTTTAGTGGCTGCAGACGGAGTGACACAGTTCACATACCTGGAGAAGCTGGAGAGAGAGGTGAGGGAGAGGGGAGAGGGAGATGAGGGAGACGAGAGTGAGTGAGTAAGTGAGTGAGTGAGTGAGAAGGGAGAGGCCAATGTAGTTAACTCTGATACCTTCTTTAGGTTCATGGCTCATTTTTCTCTTTACTCTGGTCCTTTGTGAGTCAAATTGTCAGTGTCAATATGAGTGTCAGTGTCAGAGTCAGTGTCACTGCCTGTGCCTCAAAACTCCCCCTAGCCTCTTCTCGTCTCATCTTGTTTCAGATCGTCAGCATGGCCAAGGGGGGACCGTTTGACAGCCAATCACCTGTTGCCACGTGTCCTGGCATTGGCAGCGCCTCACTGGTGGCTTTTGGTTCGCGCGCTCATCTTGAGAAGAAAGCGCTTGTCACGGTGAGTGGACACGAAGTGGTTGAAATGGTTATTAAGCGCTCCTCATATTCTCACCATGAGAAGAAAGCGCTCGTCACTGTGAGTTGGTGTTAAGTGGCTACTAAGTGGTTACTACATGTTTGCTAAGTGCTCACTAGGTGGTTTCTATGTTTGCTAAGTGTGCATTTATTGCGGTTTATCATGTGAACTTTAGTTTGTGCGGTTACCAGTTCCTTCTCTCTTCAGTGCAAGTGTTACCTGAGCGTGGTCGTGTGTGTTATACCTTTCCATTTTTTTATGCTCCTTCTCCTTCGCACCTCTCATCCCGATTGTTGCTGTGTTGTTATGTTCCATTCGGGCCTTCCTTATTCCCACTGCAGCGCAAGTGGTATCGCAACGTGCTCATGTACGGCTTCTACTTTGCAGTGCTGCTTGCAACAGGGGGGACGGGAGTGAGAGACACACAGGTGAGGGGGGAACACACTTGAGATGATACCATTTCAGACGTTTCAAAGGGGGTCTGGTTGGGAACGCATTGGTAATCAACTCAGGGGCAAAGGCCAGCTTAAAAAAAAAAAAAGAAACATGAGTTTCTTCTTGTCTCCTTTGTGCCAACTCTCAGCGCACATCTCTTCCATATTTTCATTTCTATCCTTTCCTTGTTTTCACTTCCCGTTATCGCAGTGTGGGTTCAAAATGTTCACTCGCTCAGCTGCCCGAAAACTCTTCCGCAATCAGAGGCTCAACAGGTAAGCTGGCTGCCAGCCTGGCTATGCATCATTATTTAATGGCTGTTACGGAAACAAATTACGGAATCGTGTATGCTCCTCACTTCTTCTCACAAGTGTTCCACTTCACTGATTGCTGCTTTCTCTCGTGCTTTCGGCCCCCTCTCCTGCCAACCATCTTCCAGTGGGCGTGTGATGCATGCCTGTGCAGAAATATTAATATTTCCAAGACGTTTCAGACGGCTTTTGCTCCCTTTTCCCATCACTCCCCTCCAGATGGGCATTTGATGTGGAATTGTTGTACCTGTGCAAAAAAAACTGCATGTTGTTTTAGCCATCTCGTTCCTTTTTCCCATCCACCCCTTCCAGATGGACCTTTGATGTGGAATTGCTGTACCTGTGCAAGAAAGTGCTTTTTTTTATATATATACATCTCGTTAACTCTCCCTGCTTCCCTTTCCCATCAATTCCCTCCAGATGGACCTTCGATGTGGAGTTGCTATACCTGTGCAAGCAGCTTCACATCAGGGTTGCCGAGGTTGCAGTTGCCTGGACGGAAATCCCAGGGTCCAAGCTCCGGCCTACCAGCATACTCCATATGCTCTTTGAGCTTGCCCTGATTCGCATCGGTTACGGGCTGCGCATTTGGAAGATCAAACAGGACCTCGTCAACAATTAGTATGCCATGACCCTGATGAGAACTGTTCTGTAAAATGTGGCTCAAACTGTTGGAATTATATATTCTTGTGTAAATGCATGCATACAAAATAGTGAACCCCGTCCCAAATTGAAAATCGAAGCGAAACGCAAACGAGCCCGGGCTGTTAAAAACACTGTTTCTAACCTTTTGGGCGTGCAGATCGAACCCACGTGATTGGCTCCCGCCAAAAACGAAAAGAATTGCCTCTCGCGCGAGGGGTCGCCTACAACGAGGTACACCTGCACGACGGCTGCATGGCGATCGTTTTGATCGCCGGGCCCAACTTCAACTTCAACTTGGGCCTGGGTTTCATGACTCCTTTCCATTGTTGTCTCTTATTTCGCCTAGCCTAGAATAGCTCGAAACTAGCGATTTTGCCTAGGCAGGTACCAACTAATTCGTGTGAGCAATCTATGCTGGCCTAGTGGCGAAGTGCTCTTTCGCCTCTCGCGCAATCGTTACGTTTCTGTTACTGTCGGCCCCTCTCGCTCTCCGCTCTCGCGCTTGTCCTGAATCGCCCTCATGTCGCCCACCCCGTATCTTCCCTCCGTTCCCGTGGCCTCCGCGCTCTCCCCTCCCATCCCATCGCCCTCGTGCCTTCCTTCCCGCTCCCGCGCCTTCGTCTCACCCGTCCCGTCCCTTCTCGTCGCCTTCTTACCCACTCATCCCGCACCTTCCTCTCTCCCTTCGCATCACTCACCTCGTCACCCTCCCTTTCCTCCCGACGCCATCCCGTTTCCCGTCGCCCTCCGTACAGTTAGGCTTCGCGATCTGCTCTCTCATCCCATCGTGCTCCCGTTTCCCATCGCGTTCTGTTCAGTTAGCCTTCGCGATCAGCTCTCCCATCCCGTCGCCCTCGTTATCTCTCCACGCTGCCCGTCGCGCTCCCTATCTCCCCCCTCTCCCTGTCGCGCTCGCTATCTCCCCCCTCTCCCTGTCGCGCTCGCTATCTCCCCCCTCTCCCTGTCGCGCTCGCTATCTCCCCCCTCTCCCTGTCGCGCTCGCTATCTCCCCCCTCTCCCTGTCGCGCTCGCTATCTCCCCCCTCTCCCTGTCGAGCTCGCTGTCTCCCCCCCTCTCTCGTCGCGCTCGCTATCTCCCCCCCTTTCCCCGTCGCCCTCGCTACCTCCACGGTTATTTCCGAGCAGAGAGCAATGTGCTGCTGAGATGACACCCAACCACTACATCCTCCCGACCATACTCGTGCTCGCCCATCCCGTCCCTTCTTGTCGCCTTCCCTGCCACTCATCCCATACCTTCCTCTCTTTCTTCGCGCTCGTCTTCAATTGCCCTCTCGTCGCCCGTTCTCCCTTCGCGTCACCCGCCTCGTCGCCTCTGCGCGCACCTCAAATCGCCCTCCCGACGCACTTTATATCTCCTTTCACATCAACCATCTCCTCTCCCATCCCGTCGCCCTCCCTCGCCCTCGCCGACGCCATGTCCCATCCCTTCTCGTCGCCCTCACAATCTCTCTTCCCTTCCCGTCACTTCACTTTCTTCCGCCCCTTTTGATCGCGCTCACGTTCTCCCCTACCTTCCCGTCTTCCTGGTGTTCTCCTCTCCCCTTCCATCACCCTTCCTTTCTCCCCTGTCCTCCCGTTGCCTTCGCTCCCCACATCCCGTTGTTCCTCCTCTCTCCCCTCCTGTCCCGTCGCCCCCCCTGTCCTCACTCCCTGCTCTTCGCCTTCGCTGTCGACCTGCCCAACCGTCCTCACGCCCTTCCTCCCTCCCTATTGCAACCGCTCTTGTACTATTTCCTCCCCCCCCCCCCCCTTTTTTTTCCGAGTGATTTTGCCTGTGTGTGCGCTGGGTCTTGCCTGATTTTGCCATGCCAGATTTGACATGTTTGAGCGCTGGATTGTGCCTGTGTGCGCGCTGGATTCTGCCTGTGTGTGCGCTGGATTTTGCATATGTGGAATTTGGTGAAGTTACGAGGGCTCCTCCAGTGAATACAACAGTCAGCCTTGCGCCAAATTCGCACACCAAATTGGGTCAAAGTCGCCACCAATCAGATTTGTAAACAAGTTCCCAAATTTTCGCCGTTCACATGGAGACTCGTCTGGGAGAAAAAGTAAAAAAGCAATGAACTCAATTTTCCAAACGTTCCAAACAAAGTTGTGTTTTCAAGTGGACCCAACTAGAAGGGGGGGTCACTATTTTAGCTGCTGGCCTTAACTCTGACACAAACAATGACATTCGGTGAAATGTGTTCTACCGTATGTGGCTCCCTCACATACGATCACAAATTATGGTTAGCATTTGCACCTTTTAGCGTCTGCCAGCCGTCCTCAATTGTATCATACAGTATTTACTTCGTATGTACCAGGTTTGAGAGTGGGGAACTGTAAAGGAGAACTTGATAACGTAGAGTCCATCAGCCTGTACAGGCAAATCTGATCAACCAGAGGACAGAGAAACCAATCTACTCATTATGCCTTGTTGCACATGATAGTTGGGTGCTAGTACAGCTTCTACAGAGGTTTAGGTTGTGACAAAACAATTATAGTACAGCTACCAACAAGAAACATTCGCTACATAATGTACACTCAGGAGACACTACGACGTCCTGCATTCCCCTCAATTCTATGCATTCAGCATGGCGTTGTCGTGTAACACCTGCAAGAGGGATCATACACATAGCGGATGCATGTGCTTGCAAAGGATGCCGTATCCGTGCTGGTGCTTGTCATTGCATCTTGTAGCAGACGCCTGTGGGCTATTTTTCCCCAAGAAACAGGAGGGCTTCCCATAGAGGTGGTTGTTGCCCAGCCATCCACAGGATATGATGCATAAAAAATGTTTCCAATGATCTCCGGAGGATTGCTGCCGGGCTTTCCAAGGAGACGGTAAATCAGGTACGCTGTTGCCCATTTAGGAGTGACTGAGACGGATTCAGGAACCCGAGTGACCAGGATGGCACCATAGACTTGAGTGAATGCCTTCTGTTTGAAGTTCTTATACAGGTACGAGGCAACAGCACTGCTAATGAATGAAGGAAGAGTTGCTTGAAATCCAGGGCCCTGCATAGACGTTCCAGCAAAATGTCAGACAGGAACGTATTTTAACAAGGATGATGATTGGGTGACTTGCATAATTCGGAAGAAAAAAAATGGATATTACAGCTTACCGTATATGTGACGTTGGAGCTGTGTTTTGAGACACTAAGTGTTGTTGGTGCACCCTCCACAGTCAAATCACGTGGATAATCATTTGATGTGCACAGGTGCACATCTTGGCTCGCGACCTGATTCTGTGAGACGAGAGAGACGACGTATGACGAATCCTGGACGCCTGCTGGGAGCTCAGCCATAGATGCTGTCGTAAAACCGCCATCGGAAGAGTTTTGGATGTACACATCAACCAGGGAGTCAGGTAGGCAAGATCGTTGACCTGCAAAAGGGATCCGATAGCAACTACATTGTGAGAATTTGCGTCAAGAACCACTCCTTGTCAGATAAACGACTTGGGCTAGCTTGACAGGGCGGCAACCATCTATCAAATCAAGGAGGACGATAAAGAATGCTTACTCGCTAGCTTTGAACTGCCAATGTATAAATATTCTGCGTCTGTGGCCATGGTTCCTGAAGAAGACAAGAGATTTGCGGCCTCCATTGTGGATTGGAGCAGCGGGACGCCATATGCAGCTGTTCTATTGTTCCCCAGACACAGAGCGTCCACAGGGGCTTGGTACCTCTGTTATGGTGGGAGTGTTAACAAAACAGATGGGTACAGACTGAGAAACGGTTTGTTCAGAAGGGAACGAAGTTCGGACAGGAGCCATCAAAAGTCGTCCTGCTGTCGGCTAAAGAAGGCGGAAAATTAGGCATATCGTACCGTCAGCACGACATCAAGCTCTCCAGAAGCCAGCGCGAAGAACGAAACGGCGAAGTAAGCTACCAAGATCATTAGAGGAATTCGAGGAGCCATTTTTGTTGGATGAGCAATCAGAGTCGCTAACCGATGGATGGTGGGTATGAGTTGCTGAAACTTATATATGTGAACTCGTAATACGGCCTGAGTTAGCTAAGGAGCTTATGACCGCATCGGAGAATGCACGACACCTGAGTGGACGACAATGCCAGACTGTCATCCCCTGGCAATGCCATTTTGCGGTTATCTGTTTGCCTGAACCCGTTTATTCGTTCACAGACGGTCCCGCAGGTGTCGGGAAACCATGATTGAAACATGGCACCAATTCCTCCACATCAAGGCAACCACGTCAGTCGGTTTACGACAATCTCCATTGTCGGTAATCTGACCGTTTTGCATGGCGATCTCAACCAGATTCTACCGACATGCACTGTTTCTGTCCCAACATAGTCCATCACCTCACCAGACGCCTAGTGTAGCAGACACTTGCTAACAATCGTCTGTCGTCGCTGGCGTTCGCTAACACCGTCAAACGCAAATATTAGTGAGCAGTTACAGTAACGCGTCGATTTCGCCTTCCGATGATGAATCGTGATTGCTGCATGGCTGCATCCGTTCTGCGTGCGCGACTGGAGTCGCTCAGCCACGGGTACTACCATCCTGCAGCATCAAGCAGGCAAAGCCGTCATATCGGCATCGAAGGCTACATTTCCAAACTCATCTGGACCGTCCGAGACTTGATGAGCGCCTCGAGAGATGTGTCGGTGAGATGCCGAGGTCGTTACCGTTTCCGCAATTCTCGCTGAGACCCAACTGAACTCTTCTCACGAGTCGATTCTCGACTCGAAATCTGCTTTCCAGAGGGAGTTGGCCTGTGGATTGGAAAGGCTCCTTGCGAAACACAAGCATCCTGTTTCGCCGAGGTAGGTGGTTGTTCGCGACCGCTTGGTCCGTAACGGAGACATGTTGCGGTTGCATCTCGACAACGGAAGAGCAGGCCACTCAACCGAAGTTGAGGGTGCAGCAAGAACCACCACCAATGCCTATAAATCAGCCTACATCACATAGCTGCACCGTCCACTCCTGTGTTAAAAAGCTGTGGAGCACTACATTGTCATTATTTCACAAAACAAAAAAAATCGCGTGTGCTAAAGAATCAAAAGAACAGGTCAGTGCAACTTTTGCACAGAAAGGTGAAAATCTATATTAAGCTGAGGGAATCTCAAAGATATGGCTTTTGTACATTATATACTTCTCGCTAACACTGCTCGTTTTCAAGTGTGTCTGGAATGGGTTAGTAGCCATGGGTGTCCTGAAAGAACAAAACACACACAAAAGGAGCAATGGATTATGCATACGGATGCAAGGAGTATGATTAAAACTTCGGAATGAATGGATACTTTCTGTGTGCACATAAGCACAAGAATGGAGGGAAAGAAGAAAAAGTGGAAAGGAGGGGAGGGCTTTGGGCTAAGGGAGGAAAGGGGAGTGGGGGGAGAAGGGGGAGATGAAGAAGGCTGGGGGGAAAGAGGGGGGGTGTCGTGAAGAAAGAGGAATGGGAGCGAGGAGAGGAGAGGGGAAGAAAAGAGCGGCAGCGATAGCTTACCAAGAACATCCACAGCAGACATGCGCTTTGAAGGATCTTTTTCCAGCATCCCCTTCAGCAACTCCTTCGCCCCCGTCCCGATTTTCTTCCACCGGGCAGCTTTAAATTTCAACGGCTTCTCCCGAATCGCCTCAAAAATCTCCTCGTTAGTGTCGGCGAAAAAGGGAGGAGCGCCGCAGAGGAGAGTGTACAGCACGATTCCGGCGCTCCAGATATCAGCTTCCGGCCCGTAGGAGCCTGCCAGCACTTCTGGCGCGATGTAGTAGGGTGTGCCGACAAACTCCGTGAGTGGCGTGCCTGTGGGAGCACATGGAGAGCAGATTATAACAAGTGCAGGCTGTGAGAAACAAGCTCGTAGGAGCCTGCCAGCACCTCTGGTGCGATGTAGTAGGGTGTGCCGACAAACTCCGTGAGAGGCGTGCCTGGGGTAGCACAGAGAAGGGACATTCATGGGCGCATGAGGAAGACACACACACAAAGACACAGAGAGAGAAGGCAAAAGCAACGGGTTTAAGAAACCCGTCCTGTTACATCCCACTTTGACTTATTCCTCGACTCAAAAGTTACAACATGACAACACCCATCACCTGTATTGGAGTGACTTTTGAGAATTCTCAAAAGTCACTCCAATATGACTTATCCCTCGACTCAAAAGTTACAACATGACAACACCCATCACCTGGGAACCAACAACCCGACGATACAGGCTTGTACTATCTCTTGCGGCACCTCAAAATTCGTCACAAACACCCGATCAGGCAGGCACGTACCATCTCGGAACCTCGCCGCGACGCCAAAGTCAATCAGCTTGACGCACGTGTCGTCCTCGCGGTCCATGAGCAGAATATTCTCCGGCTTCACATCCCGGTGCACAATCCCCTCCCTGCATGCACCGCTCTACACCGTTCTACACCATTCTGCACCGTTTTGCACGTACCTTCTTGGAACCTCGCCGCGACGCCGAAGTCAATCAACTTGACGCACGTGTCGTCCTCCCGGTCCATGAGCAGAATGTTCTCCGGCTTCACATCACATCCCGGTGCACAATCCCCTCCCTGCATGCACCGCTCTACACCGTTCTACACCATTCTGCACCGTTTTGCACGTACCTTCTTGGAACCTCGCCGCGACGCCGAAGTCAATCAACTTGACGCACGTGTCGTCCTCGCGGTCCATGAGCAGAATGTTCTCCGGCTTCACATCCCGGTGCACAATCCCCTGCGAGTGGCAATACTGCAACGCCTCCACCACTCTCGCCAGCACCACCGCCGCCGCCTCCTCCGAAAACCCCACTCTCCCCTCCACACTCCCCCCTCCGAGCACGCGCCTGTGTGCAGTCTCCCTGCTTTCCTTGCTCTCCTTGCTCCAGCGCTGCTTGATTCGGTCGAAGAGGTCTCCCCCCCGGGCGAGCTCCATGAGAATGTGGATGTGCCGAGGGTCCTCCATTGCCTCGTGGATTTCAATTATGCTCGGATGCCCCTTCACCTGCTGCAGCATCGCTACCTCCTTCCTCACGTCCTCCGCATCCTCTGCTGACTGAAGGGTGTAGGGCCATGGAAAAGTGAAGGGTAGGGCAAGGGATGAGGGGACCAGGGAAAGCAGTAATTTCCTGCACCTGCCGCAGAATTGAAACATCCTTGCACACGTCCATGCGACACCTCAAAAGAAGGAATGACCATCCCTTACCTCTATCTTCCAAGACCTCTCAGAACGCTTACCTCAATCTTCTGCTTGCTGATGGTCTTGCAGGCGAGCAGAGCCCCCGTCGCTCGGCTCACACACAGGCGAATCACCCCAAACTGCCCCACACCTAGCTCCTCCTCCCCCACCTCGTACAACCGCGTCAGATCCCTGTATGGCCGCCGCAGCACGTACGCGGTTGGGCCCGCTCCCCCGCCCTCTGCCCAGGAGGAGATGCGGCGGTGGGTGCGGGGGCTTGGGGGGGGTCGGAAGGGGTTCTGAGGGGGATTATGAGGTGGGGCGGTTTGAGGCACGGTCTGGGGTGCGGTTTGGGGTGCAGTTTGCGGTGCGGTTGGAGGTACGTTTTGAGGTGCGGTTTGAGGTTCACTCTGAGGTTGCTTAGGGTGGGTGGTAGGGTTAGGAGAGGGGTGGGAGGCAGGGCTTGGGGAAGGCCGGTGGAGGGATGTCGGAGGGGGAGGGGGAGTGGCTTGGGGCCGCCGCCGCCGCAGCTGCTGTTGCTGCTCCTTCTGCTGATGCTGCTTCTGGTGCTAGTAGCGATGCTGTTTGTGCTGCTGATGCTGGTGGGTATAGTGCCACAACCGCTGCGCCCTGCTGCTGCTGGTGCTGGTGGTGCTGGTAGGGTTGTGCGAGGAGCACGAAAGAGCAGCATCTGCATCAGGGGAATCTCCAGGCACCTGAATTTTCACCTGACGAATCCCCTGCCTTGGCAACTTCCCTTTCTCTGCTACAATCCCTGCATTCTCATTCACGGGCTGAACCTCCTCCGATGTGCAATCCTCATATACATGAGCAGCTTCACTCTCCTCCTCCTCCCCTCCATCACACACAATCACTGTCACCGCTTCCCCTTCTCCTGCCTCCCCAGCAGCAGGCTCTTCAGTATTCCCAAAAACCACCCAGCCTTGATTGTCAATCCTCCCTTCCTCCAACCCCGCCTCCTCCTCCTTCCCATCCTCCTCCTCCTCTCCCTCCCTTTCCTTCTCCCTCTCCTCCCATTCATCCTCACTACAATCCTCATAACCCATATCAACCTTTCTCCTCCTCGGAGTTGTCAGATTGTAAATATTCAAATCCATACTCCCGGTCCGCCGAACCACCCCGACCTTCAGGTTCGCGTTCCCGAGCCTCCCTTTGTGGAGGATCGGGCTGCGTGGCCCCACCAATTCCCCAGGAACATCGCAATCCCTCAATCTCTCCAATCGCGTCCCTCGCATTTCTTTCAGCGCTTCTCGCGCGTTCTCTCTCTGCGAACTTCTCCTCCGCTCGCCTTTTCTTTCCCTCCTCTCTTCAGCTCCAGCAACTCGATCTTTTTTCCGCTGCCCGTTCTCCTGCCCCGATTTTTCCACCTTCTCCTCCTCTCCTGGGGATTTCAGCACCAACTCGCCTTGCCCCATAATTTCCAAAACGGCCCGTCGCCTCCTCCCATCTGCCCCAACCACGGTAACCAGCAAAGCCAGTTTATCCCCTCCCTTCTCCCCCACAACCTCCCCTCCCCCGCTCAATCCCACCCCCTTCATTTCCCCTCTCTTCTCCTCGTCCTTCTCTTCCTCCTCGTCCTCTCCCTCATTTCGTGTTCGTTCTGCTGCCGTTCCGCGGCTGCTCGCATGGGAAACAGGGTGACTATAACGAGGGTCGATGAACTCACCTCCAGCACGCACGAGCCTGCGCACAGAGGCGTCACCAGCCTCTTGGAACCTGCCGCGGGGCGGGCTGTTCTTATAACAAAGGTCGTGCGGGTGCTGTCGCTCCTGCTGCTGCAGCAGCAGCTGCTGCTGCTCTGAATGCTGCTGCTGCTGCTGCTGCTGCTGCTGCTGCTGCTGCTGCTGCTGCTGCCAAGACTGCTCCTCCAGGCTCGGTCGCACCGGCGGCCGTTTCGCCAGCTCGCGTTCCTGTAACGGAGGCTGTTCCCGTAACGCATGTGCTTGTAACGCGCGGTTTACTGTAGACCCGTCCACGAGCTGGTAACCGCAGCTGGGGCAGAACCGGAAGTGCGGGCAGAGCAGCGCGCGCAGGCTCTGAAGCTTCGCTGCAGACTCCTGATCGTAGCGACTGCTTTCACCATATGATTCGGAATAGCTGCGGATATGGCCACCCCCATAGCTGCTACCGCCGCTATACACCCCGCCGTAGCTGCTACCACCGCCATTCCCGCCGCCATAACCGCTGGCGTAGCCGCTGCTATACCCACCACGATCAGCGCGTTCAGTCCGATCCTGATGCGATTCACGGGGTGCTCCAGCCGAGGACCCACTAGACCTGCTGCATCGGCTACTAGGTCTCGTGCTAGTTCTGGTGCTGGATCTGGTGGCAGTGCTGGGAGCGGTGATTGCAGAGCGGCCCACATGCGACTCCCTCTGCGACTCGGTCTGCGACTCAATTTGCGACTCAATTTGCAACCCCAGACGCAACTCGGCCTGAAACCCATGCAGCGACTGAGAAGTCCTGGTGCTGAGCAGAGAGACCGTTTCCATCTCGCCGAGAGAGTCAACCCCATTGGTCACCGTCGATGGTAACTCACTGCCGCTGTCGCTTTCGCTGAAAGAGCCTGAGCCGTCGGGTGACATGGGACTCGCGTATGCTCCGTCCTCCTCTGCGTTCCCTTCCTTGTCCTCGTTATTGTTGTACTCATTTAAAGGCGAGCCGAGGCTTGCAGGAGTCTCACAGGGCGAGGAAGGCACGTTCTGAGAGGGCTTTCCGTTGGTGTCGAGCAGCGATAAGGGAGCGCCAGGAGAGCTCCACGTGGACTGGTTGTCCACGTGGGACGATGCCACGCTGGCACAGGCATACTCCGCGTTCGCGCCAGCACAGAGCGCCACGTCAGCCGGAGCGCCGGTGCTTTCGGCTCCGCCGCCCACCGTAGTAGAGGCTTCCTGCACTCCTCTCGCCCCACCCTCGCGACGAGAAACCTCGTTACTAGACGATTCGTTACAAGCCAGCCCTTCGCCAAAACCCCTGCCGGCGCCAGCGCTTCTGTCTGCGACGGAGCCCCCGCCGCTGCTGATCCCCAGCCGCGTCAGGTCCAGCCTTGCCGGCCTGTGCCTCTGATACAGCGGCAGCAGCAGCGGCGGCGGCGGCGGCGGCGGCGGGGGAGGCGGGGGAGGGACCAGCGGTGGTGGCGGTGGGGACGATAGCGGTGGCGGTGGTGACGGTGGCGGCGGCAGGGCGCGCCCCTTGCTACAACCGTCCGCTACAGCCGGCCAGCCGGCAGTAGCAGCAGCTGCGCCGGCGTGGCCGGCAAGCCTCCCGCCGCCGGAGAGAGAGGAAGATGGAGGGAGCCCGCCCGCGCCGGGGAGAGAGGACGACGGAGGGAGAGAGGAAGGAGGAGGGAGCGGATTAGGCGGCAACTGGTGGGGACGGCCCCGTTGCATGGTTATTGCGTTGACCACAGACGACATTATTCGGCTCCGAAGGTGCCAGCGACTAGGCTGCTGCTGTGCCATCAGTTCCCGTGCGCTCCCATCCGCAGGAGCAGGAACTAACGCAGCAGAAACCGCAGGAGCCGAAGAAGGAGCAGAAACGGCAGTGATGTCAGCAACTGCAGAAGCAGCAGACACCACAGAAAGCTCAGGAGCTTCAGCTACTGCAGAACCTGCCGTTGTCCGCGCCGCGGCATCCACAGCTCCTCCAAACGCTGCTGCCACGTGTCCCGGAGATGCTGGCGCCGACTGTTGCTGAGACGCCTCAGAACCAGACGCAGCTGACACGTGTCCAGACGATGCTGGCGCCGACGGCGGCCGTGAACAGCTGTTTGATCCTCCCCACACTCCCGCCTCTGGCGCTACAGCCGACCTCTCAAAAATTGCCACGTGGCGAGCCGCCGCTGGCGCTTGCTCCGTGGGCCGAGCTTCGGCGGCGGCTGCGGAGGCAGCGGCGGCGGACCTGACAGTGAGGTCCCAGCTCCCGAATCGTCGGTGTCTCCCCCCGCCTCCGCCTCCGCCTCCGCCTCCGCCGCTTCTCTCTGCCGCCGCCGTTCCCCCTTGAGCCGTTCCCCCTTGCGCCGTCCCCCCTTGCGCCGCTTCCCCCTGCGCGGCAGCTCGTCCCGAAGCCATGGCGGCGATCTCCGCGTGCGGCGGCGGAAGCGGCAGGCGGCGCTGATTGGTCGGATCCGCGGCGTCCCAGCTGCGGCGGCGATTGCGGAAGTCGGAAGCAGCAGTAGCAGAAAAAGAGCTGTTTAGAGTGGCAGCAGGGCCGGGAAAATAATTACTTGACCTCTTAGTAGCAGCAGGAATGGTGTCAGTCGGGTAAGCTGCAGCAGCAGAAGCGGGAAACGGATTACTTAGTTCCGCAGAAGCAGCAGTAGAAGCCGGAGTTAGGTCAGCAGCGGGAACAGTCGCAGGAGCAGGCAGGTTAGGGGGGGGAGCCATGACGGGACGAGCTAAGGCGTCGACCGACATCGTTGCATCGGAGCACATCGGACGAGCATGCCAACTGCGCTTGCTGTGAAGTGCTTGAACGGATCGTTTGAAATGACTCGACCGTAGTTAACCGTACTAGACCGTAGTAGAACGTAGTAGATAACGGACGGATGGATTGAGAGAATCTGCGGTCCTATCAGACAGTACGAGCCGTTTCTGGTGGATCGTGAGTCTTTCCGTCGTTTCTGCGATAAACTCGAGGCACAAGCTACTATCAGAACATTCGAGTTGTGAAATCGAGCCGTCGTGTTGAAAGAGTAATAATAGACTTAAGTGGCACTCTCGGAACAAGGAGTTTGTTTTGAGACGTCTCAAAACTCTCGGAACAAGGATACCTCGCGGCCTAACAGTAAACCATCACGCCCCTTCTCACGGAGTAGAGCGTCGCGCTGTTCTCTCACGCTTCATGCGTCGGCGGGTCCTCTCGTCAAGCATCAAACAACCATAAGTCGCCTCGCGCTACTCGGAGTTGATAAATTTCTTAATCGCCTCAAGAAATCGGCTCATAGAACCACGAGCCGCCTCATGCTACTCGGCGGGTCGCACGCAACGGATCTGATCTCAATCCACCCGCGCACTGTACGGCAGATAAGAGCCACCTAGGATCGTCTCCTGACCACACGAGAAAAATCTTCCCGGCGTTCCCACGAGCCACCTAGGGTCGTGAATCATTCCGGATGGGTCTCGAAAGCCGTTCCCACGCGCGACCTTGGGTCGTGAATCATGATTCCGTACTGCCGAACCCCGCGAGCAGCTCACAGCAACGCGCGGCTCGGAAAACGCCGAGGATCGAGGCGTCGCGCTACCGGCGCGAGATGAGCAGTCGGCGCGAAAAGCTGGCGGGAGGAGCTGGCGCGGAAGCATGGAGCGCGGAAAGTTGGCTGGAGGAGCTAATAAGAGCTGGCGGCCTGGCGGAAGCAACGCACGCGCGGAGCTGACTGGCGGGCCTGGCGGAGCCATGTTGAGACCAGCTAAGCGCTCTCTAGGCACGCCGGTTGGGTAGATGAAACTAGTTGTTGACACCGACAGTAGGCCGACGCCAGGCCCGCCTAGTTGACGTAATGTAGGTGACAACCCGCGATCGAGCCGCGCGGTTGGGTAGAAGAAACCCGTCGTTAAAGACATCACAGACATACGACTGAAACCAGTCCTGGCTAGTTGCAACTTGCAACGCGTCAGCTGACGCCAGGCTCGGCTCGTTGAAACACCTCGATGAGGTTGGGTCGTCAGTGTAATAACGTGGCTGACAGCCGAAGGCGATAGTCCATCCCACAGCAGCTTGCAACTGGTGCTGGTGGGCATTTGTAACTTAGGGTTGACTGCTCAGTTGACCCACATGGTTCTGGCAACAGAGGGGCAATTCTAGCCACAGCCCACAGCAGTTCTTCCAACTCGCTCTGGTGGGTCAACATGGCAGCCATGGCTAACGGTTGGTAACTCAACTCTCTGCTAGTTGTGCAGCGGACTCGTTGCAGATACTTAGGACGCGTCAACTACCACCAAATTTCGGCGATCGATCGTGCAGGCACTCGGTGTGCAGAGTGTACAGTATTTTTACGACGTCGCATATCACAAGGTATCCTGTTTTCGCCAGTTTTCGAAAATGTACAGTAAACTGGTCACTAAAATCATGTCAGCTGTGGCTCGCGCGATCGATGTGCCTCCAGCTGGCGATCGGGAAATTTTGCCCCACAAAACCTCGATCCTGTCACATGTGGCTCGATGGAGCCCCGCGATTGCAAATAAGCATTTGGGAACACCGGTGTGACGAACGGGCTTGACACGATCGGTATGCAGCACCGAACCTCCCCCGATCTTGCCATTTTGGTGGGAGTTGACGCGTACAACAGGAGCAAGCAAGTAACACCTAGTTCGCAATAAGTTCACACCCCTACCCTTCTTTTCGTAGGCCCCACCGCTTTCTGGCTTGACGTGATGGACACCCAGTTATTGAAGGACCATAAAAAGACAACCGGAAGGTAGTCTCTAGAATGAAACTTGCACTTTGTGTTCCTAGTGGGGGGTTTAGGTAGGTTTCGTTTGGCTTTTATGTTCTTGTTGCTCCCCACCAATTCGCGAAAGGAGGTCGGGCCCTCCTCCGGAATCTCTTAAACATCGGTAACTACCCCTTTTTTATATATCATATACATTACAAGAATGTACAGACATCGGCAGTCGTAACTGACATAGGGAGGGGAGCGTCACAATAGCTAGTATCGCAGATCCCCTCTAAGACAGCTACGGCGGTTGATGTGTCATGCTGGGGTTGTCCCAGATTGAGCTGAAACTGATCCTCCACGTCAGCGGTGCACCGCTGCTGCAGATACGTCGCATCACCGTCGCCTCATCGGCTGCCAGGTGTGCCCAGTTATCATCCAACGTCTGCCCCCTCTTTCGCGCTGTCGCCTCACACGCCAAACAGTACACTCTTGCATGTGCGACGAAGTTTATCACCGCCAGCCGAGCCACCCTTCCGGCCTGGAACGACTCATTTCTCCACGCCGCGTTACATCTCGCCAACCACACTTGCTGTAGAACAGTTGCAATCCACGTCCCTTCTGGAAAACCTGTCTTCGTGCTTCTTTGCATGAAGAGCAGATCTTCGAGATCTTGCCACGCTAGCCCCGGGTTCATAGCCACCAGCCCTCTCCTCAGCAGGTCCACCACCGGCTGCACTGCAGGGCATCCAAGGAGGCAGTGGTCTGGGGTTTCTTCACCACGGCAGTGCGGGCAGACCACCCCCATGAAAAACAACCTCGAGCCCACTTGCAGGTTTCTACAGTGAAGCCTTAGGAGGACTTCACGTGCCCGCCGTGGCGTGGCAAGGGAGTCTCTCTGCGTGATGACCCTGTCCCATTCGATCACTCTTCTCTGCCCTTCCCACCTTCTCTGGTTCTCCTGCCTGCCAGCCGAGCTTGCCAGCACCTTCCTTATCCCCTTTAGTGAAAGCAGCTCCCCCCCCTCGCACGCCTCTGATAGCAGCAGCTTCGTACGTGCGTCACCCATGGCCCCCAGAACCACACAACCTTCCGTGAACATCGGCACTCCGCTTCGTAGGTCGAGATCCACCGTGAGGTCCCCTGCGTAGGGTGCGAATCTTCTGCCGTCATCTATGGTACACAGCCTCCCCGTCACTTTGTCCCCCTTCGCCTCCTCGACCCGCCAGTATGTAAAGCTTCCAGTCGTGTCATTGCACGTCCGTAATAGCTTCACCGTGGCCACAACTTCCTCGCTTGTCAGCGTTGTTAACACCATCTCCTTCCAGTTCGCAGGTGTCGCTTTGAAAGCTCTCAGCGCCCATTTCGCTTTGTCCCTGTTCCCCAATTCCCTCGTCAGTTCTTCTAACCCCTTGAGCTTGCACGTTCTATCCCAAGTCTTCTTGATCAGGTCACCTACGCGGACGCCCAACAACACCTTCGCACCCTTCTGGTTCCCGAAAGGACTTGCACCACTGAAGGGGATATTCGGGTTGAACGCCAGGTGCTCCTGCTCCACCTCCCAACGGTGTGCGCGGTTTGCGTAGCGGCGAGCCCCAGAATTTCTCAACCAGCTCCTTCCAACGTCCACTTCCTTTTACCCAGTGGTCCAGCAAATATTTGTGGGCGAAGATGGTGTCCAGCCCCAGGGGCATATCAGCCGCCTTCTTCGCCAACCATTTTTTGACTGAGTCCGGCTTCGGCACCAGTCAGCAGACGTTCCGGATAGCAATGCTGTCGACTCTCAGCTCCGGGCATAACAACCCCAGCCCCCCGTCCTCCCGAGGCGTGCAGGCCAGCTTGTAGTTCCAGAGGATGAAACGCTTTTCCTCTGCCGCTTCACCTTTCGAGACGAAGGTATGACACAGTTTGCGGATCTTCTTCCAGATGGCCTCCGGCGGCAGGTAAACTTGTGCCTGGAAGAGGAAAATCCGCACGATGTAGCTGTTGATTATCGGCACTCTTGCTGATGTGGTCAGGTGTCTCATTTCCCACTTCGCTAACTCCCCCCTCGCTCTGTCCAACGCCTTGTTCCAGGAAGGGGTCGGGTCACCGTTCGGTGTGATCCAAATCCCCAGCAGTCGCTCCGGATCGTCTTTATCCGCCCATTTGTACCGTACCCCCTGTGGCGCTGGCTTCCCCCGGTTCTTCCCCAGCGGAAAGATCACCGTTTTCCCTTCATTCACCTTCAGACCCGACTCTTCCCCGAAGTCCGACAGCACCTTAGACGCCATCTGGAGCTGCCCCGCCCCCTGCAGCAGGAGTGAGGTATCGTCAGTGTAGCCCAAGTACGCCAGCCTACCCACACCCCTCTTTCTGACCCCCAGCTTGTTCCGGTTGATCTCTTGGCATAGCGGCTCCACCGCGCAGAGGAACAGGTACGGTGCCAGCGGACACCCTTGGCGCACCCCCTTTTCCACCGCTACCTTTTCCCCCATCCATCCGTTAATATGCAAACGTGTTCCTGCTTCGTTGTGCAGCCCCTCCGTCCGGTAAGCCCTCCGGTATACCCAGTTTCCGTAATGTGCTGAAGAGGAAGTTGCGCGAGATCGAGTCAAACGCCTTCTGGAAGTCAATCATCAACAGAAACCAGTCCTCCTTCCCATTCGCCCCTGCTTCAATGGCGTCTGCCACCACCGCCATCGCGTCCGCCAGCTGGCGACCAGGTATGAAGCCATACTGGTCCTCCGATATGACCTCGTGCAAAACTTTCTTGAGCCTGCTTGCCATCACTTTCGCTACGATCTTGTACACGGTGCTTAGGAGCGTTATTAGCCGGTAGTTCCCTAGGTCACCCTTGTCACCCTTTTTGTGCAGCAGAATGGTCACCGCTGTTGTGATATTTTGCGGCAAAATTTCTCCCCTCGTAAATCTCCCCACCAGGTCCATCAGTATCGGTCCCAACAAGTCCCAGTTGTAGTCAAAAAGCTCCTTGGGCAAGCCGTCCGCTCCTGGCGACTTCCCCGGGGCGAGCTCCCGCACTGCCTTCCGCACCTCCTCCTCCGTCCAAGGCGCATTCAACGATCTCCTGCTTTCTTCCCCCAACTGCCGCTGCATGGGGCGGTTCTCTGTGACAGATACCGCGCCTCCGCCAGGACAGCCGAAAGCCTCACGGAAGTGGTCTGTCGCCGCTGAGAGAACCTCCTGCACCCCTGAGAAGACAGTTCCATTCCTTAACACTGCGCGGATCGCTGTCTTTGCCTTGCGAGTTTTGATTTGTGCCGACAGGATTCCCGATGCCACCTCCCCATCCAGCTCTGCTTCAACGCATGCCTAAGTCTGCAATTTTTCTTTGTGACTTTTCGTATGCCTCCAGCAGCCCCTCCTTCCTGAACAGGATCCGACCTGTTCGCTGGCAGTGCGGGTAGCGTGACACTCGAACTCGGAGCCGCTCCACTTCTTTGGTGAGATGTAACCTAGTTGCCGTCTCCCGCTTCCTCTCCTCCCGTGAGTATGCCCTCAGACAGGCGGTCAACCTTTCCAGCAGCCGGTCAGCTGGTTCACCAGCGGACTCCTCAACGATCTTCTTAACAATTTTCCTGACACCCTCCTTCTTTGCCTGCTCCGCTCGCAGCCTCCAGATGCCTGGCCCGTTCTTAACCGCGTCTGCAGACTCCAGCACCACTCCTATTCCGCTCCAGTGATCCGTCATCCCATTTGTGATTGCCACGTGTTTTGCATCCACCAGTCTACCCAGCAGCGGCTGAGAAATCAGCGCCCTGTCAATCCTCGAGCTGGACCTTGTTGCTTTTGCGAAAAACGTGTATTCTCTCTTGTCCGGATGCATGTGTCTGAAAGCATCCCTCAGATCTATGTTGCCCCAGCAGCTCAGGAGCCGTTGATTTTCTGCCGAGGAACCGGAGTGCGAGGTGCGGTCCAACTCCGGGTCCTCGACCACGTTGAGGTCACCCATCACCAGAACGTTCGGGAGCGCCGGCAAGGACTGCAAGAACGGTGTCAAGCTGTCCCTGTAAAAGCTGCTCCTGCTGACTGCTTGCGCTGGGATATAAGCCGCCACCAGCAAGAACTCCAGACTCCCCAGACGCACTACCACTGCAAGAAGCCTGCCGGAACTGTCGATGAAAATACCCGCGAACGCCAGCCCAAGTACGAAACTCACTATTGCAACACCCCCCCCCGACTCCCCGGGGTTCATCCCACACATTGCAACTGCGCTTGGATTGATTTGCGTCCAGAAATTGTGGTCTGCCTGTAGCCTGGTGTCTGTGATTATTGCCACGTCTGTTTTTTCCCTCATCCATTTGCTGCACTTGTTTTGTTTCTCCACCCCGCCGAGTCTGTTGATGTTGAACTCGCAGAAAGTGACCGTGTGGGCCTTATCCATTAATCAACAACTGAGAAGCCCCCTCGCATCCACGGGCTGTAAAGATATAGAAAACTACCAGACCAGGTGAGCCGCTGACAGCAAGAACTACTACTCCTCCTATACAACTACTGATGCATCCGTCGCCAAAACTAGCTGTGACAGTCTCTTCCTGACGTCGTGTGATGACGGTGTTGCTTGTTACTTCGCAGGTTTCACGATGAACTCCTTGAAGGCTTGCAGCTTCTGGGAGAACATGCTTGTGCGCGTCGCTGAACCTTCCTTCCGCAACCCCCCTTTGAGACGGGCTGAAGCGATGTGAGCCGACGCCTGCTCGAAACGATTCCCCTGCGCCTTCTCGCAGCCCGTCTGGACGCAAACCCATTCCTCCCGCGCGCCTCCGGTTGAGGTGAGAATGATAGCGGGGTCTCGCATGATGCGCTTCAGCGGGTCTGAAGCTTTCAGGGATGCGGCTGTGGGGAAGAAGAAGCAGGTATCTGTCAGTAAGAGGCGAGGAAAAAAGAGCGTGCAGGAAATCGAACGACAGCAGCAGGTAAGATGCTACTCCGCTTATACCATTCCTCTCGTGAACCTTTTTAACAGTCAGGTTCCAGTTGTTGAGGTTTTCCTGCCTCGGCGCCACGTAATGATTGTGATAACGCGTCATGTGTTGGCCACCGCAGAACCCGCAAACCAGCGACGGGAAATGAAGCAGGTATCTCTTCCCCATATATGGGTCTTCCACGAAGTAGCGCCAGCGGTATTCATCGTCAGCGTGAGATATGATCAGGCCACGAATGCGATCCGTATCCAAGCCGGACACTGGGTCCACCGTCCGATGAAAGCCGAAGCCGCTGGCGAACGCACTTCTCCTGCGAATGACCAGCTTCGACACCACCAACAAGCGTCGAATTAATTCCGCCGAGATCTCCGCCGGCACGCCTTTAACTACGACCTCCTTAGCTGTGGGGTTGAGCACACGCTCTCGCAGAAAACGCGCGTCTTTCGGGTGCTGCCAGGTGAGGTCAATGAAATCGCCCTTGACACACTCGTGACGGATGACTTGACTCCAGACCAAGTTCGCGTCCCGAACTTGATTGAAGGTAACTTGCAGCCGTCCGTAGCGGTCACCGGAGAAATACATTGGCGGAAGATCCTGGTAAGTGGTGGTTGAGAGCACCTCAGGCGATAACAACTCCTTCCAGTCGTCCAGCAAGGCAGCAATAGTCACAGCAGCGCGCTTAACCTCCACCTTCCTGGAAATTGGCACCAACAAGGTTAGTGAGAAGCGTTTCAGAGCAAGAATACTGTTAAGCGAATCCGGCTCCAGGTGTTCATCAGAGGCATCACTCAGGTAGCCGTCATCCTCGTCGTCTAGAGCATCTGGCGGTTGCGCGTCAGCACCATCATCTTCATTACCGACCGCACCAGTCTCCACCCGCGCTTCTTCCTCAGAGCCCTTTTCCACCCCGTCAGTTTTCTCCTGAGTGGAAGTATCTTCCTGATCACCAGCGACCGGCAGCTCTGGAAGAGCTTCGAAAGGACCGACCACAGTCGTGGAAGCAGGACCGGGGAGCGGCGTCCCAGAGTCAGCGGAATCCTTCACGGGTACATCAGGTACATCGTTGTCCAGAGCATTGTCAGCAGTCTTCTTGCCGCTCTTCCCATTGCGTCCCTTCACCATTGTGCGATGATGAATCAGGCTTTCCAGCCAGACAAAGGCTGAGAAAAAAGTCGATCTGAGCACGCACTGACAACCACGCCAGTGTTTATGCTTCTTGTGCTTGAAGGCAAAGCGCTGCAGGTCCAAGCCAGTCGAAGCTGTTGATGACTTCGAGATGAGCCCCAATCCTTGATAACTAGTGACGCCAGGTGGATTAGAACCTTGAGAGTAGGGAGCAAAAAGTTTGTCTTGAACTGATGACGTAGCAAACCATAGACCGCGATGTAATCCATGGAGAAGCTCAGCAATGCCTTGGTAAGATCGTTCTGAATCGAAACCTGAAGTTAGGTGTATCTCTGGCGATAGCCTGGAACTCAAATAAAAGGTGCTTAGGCTCCCGTAATGAGCACTAAGGAAACACCCTTGTGTAGAGCTTAAAGCCGCGCATCGCTTGAGCACTTCAATGTCAGAATCAGGCACGAAATTGATACACATTGGGCGAGTTAAAGCTCTCCGCCATGGCTCCGCCCTTAATCCCATGGTATTGACGGATGGAGTTCACCCTTCCCGACGGTGAGAAAGTGCAATTTACAGAAACGGTGTAACTACCCTACAGAAACGTTTTACCTAGGGTATGTACCCCAGGGTGTGAGATTAAGTGATGTGAAATAATCGCAAACAGGACATTCTGTAATCGCGAGTGGCGTGAGTTGCGCGAGTAGTGCGAGTGTTGCGCTTGGCGCGAGTGGACGAGGAGTATGGTGTGATGCATGAGGTAGCCTATTCCTTGGGAATTCCAGTACACAATGATTTCAGTAGGATCCGAGAAGTTTAGAGGGTCAACCGTAGCAAATTTCGAGTAGAGGCTGCTCCTAGCGAGGACAGCCCAAGCACTTTGTGTCAGTGTGGCTCGGCCTACACGTTTGCACCGAACCAATTCCGAGTCGCCCCGCACCAATCGCGACACATCCATCCCTCGCACATCACGAGGTTCTCGCTAAGCTAATTTCCATCCTATATTAACTCGCTTTCTTCATTGTTTCTTCATTCTGTAATTACGTTCTCTTTATAAGTTCTTGGAGCGATTGTTTTTTTTAGTTCTTGTTTTAAGTCTTTCTCGCACTCTGTTTAGTACAACACATAGCACTAAGAAAGGCACAATGTCAGAAATTCTCCATTCTGGCTAAAGTCTGGTGTTAAGGTAATCAATTGATATTTTTTTGCGAAAACAAGTTCGGAAGTTTGTAACCACTTACGAACAGAATAGAACGAACAACCGGCAAGTAGACCTGCGTTAGATTACCTGTTAGTTCAGATTCTCTAACAGGTAATCTAACTGCTTCCTCAGTTCGTCGAGTTCGGGCTATGTCAGTCTGAACTGTCGCTGTACGGTTGGTTGTGCCCCCGGCTCTAGTTCTATGCGGTGGTCGTGTGCACGCTGAGGTGGCAGCCCCTCCGGTAAGTCGTCAGGAAAAATCCCCGGGTATCGTTTCAGTACTTCCTATAGCTCGGGCGGTACGGCTGCTAACAGTTTCTGAAAATCGTTCAGCGCCTCTGTTTCTCCTACCACCGCGATGTCCACTGCGTACACGTCAGCTCCAGCGGCGACAGCCCGTTGCATCGTAATGGTGTTGACGTGGACTGTTGATGACTCGGGTGACCGCCAGCGGGGTAGTTCGACCCAGTTACCACTACTTCGCACAGTGCAGCTACCCGTCGTCCAGTCAATTCGCGGGTTGTAGCGTCGCAGCCAATCACGTCCCAGTAAAATGTCGTGCCCATCCAGTGTCGTCGCGAGCATTTCCTCTGTAAACCCGAAGTTTTCCCTGCAACCGACTTTCACTCTCTCCACTTTCTCCCGTATGGCTTGTGGTGTGCCGTCAACTAAGCATGCGTCGATCTCCGGTAAACAACAGCTAAGCGTCAGTTGCAGCTTCCGTGCAGTTGCGGTATTAACTAAACTATGACTTGCTCCTCCGTCTATAAAGATCTTCACTGCTACCCCCTGTATTTTCCGGTAAATCGGTATTGGAAAATCCGTCGCTGTACCCTCCTTATTCATCCGAGCCCGATTGATGGTGTGGATCGGTACTGTGACTCGGTGAGGGCAGTGAGGTCGGGCGAGTAGTTAGTCTCGTCAGTGGGCCCGTTATGTATTGAATGCTGGCGTTTCCCTACCTCTGAGACTCCCTTCCCTGCTCTGCTCCACGGCGCCTTAGCTCTTTTGGACATTCGCTCTTGCGATGGCCCGACCTATTGCAAGCAAAGCAGCACCCCTTAAATGGCGTAGGAGCTGTGCTTGCCGCAACGGTGTGTACAGTGGCGTGCTCGGTCGGTCCCCAAGGGCGATGTCCGTAGCAGGACCCCGGTCTCAGATGGTGTAGGATGTCGATTTTCTCCGCGAGCGCGAGGATTTCGTTGAAGTTAGAAAGCCCGCAGAGCATTATCTCGTGCGAGATGTCCGGCTTCAGCCCCCCGACGTAACGGTCCACCCGCTCCGCCTCGTGCATGTAGCCGACTTGCTCACATAGTACGAGAAAACTGCTCAAATAGTCTTGAACCGACCCGAGTTGCCGCCAAGTGCGCAGTTTCTAACGCGCCGAGATAGAAGTTGCGATCAGCTCGAAGCGCGCCCGAAGCCTTGCGCACCACGCGTCCCACGTGCTGTATTAGCGGTTTCGCAGAACGAACTCCAGGTGACGGCTGGCCCCGTGGGTCCTTCCTCTTGCGACGGTGGCTCGTAGGCGCGTGGCGACGTCACGATGACTCGCCACCAGTCCATGGCAGGGCCCCGCAGCGGCGAAACTGCGTATCAAATCTTCGTTGCGTCCGACGTGACGTAATTGGCGTTAAAGGAGACGTTCATCGTGAAGTCCCACGATTGAACCGTCGAAACAGGGCGGGTGTTGCGGCTTGAGCGGCAATGGCGACGGGCTTCGCGAGGAGCATTCACGGTCGGAACAACCCTGGTTCTCTCCATGCCAGGCATAGATTGGGCGGCGCCATCACTGGCTGTGCCTGAGCGCTGTCCCACGTTGTGATGTGACGGTGTGCTGGACGAGATGACAATTGGCTCATCCGATTGCGCAGGTGCATTTGCAGGTGTCGGTGCTGGTGCTGGTGCATTCGTCGTTGATTGCTGTCGGGCGGAGTCGCGTTCCACCGTGAGCGTCGCGATTTTGAGCGCCGATTCCTCGGGTTGGCACACAAGTTCGTCGAGGCGTTCGGGCATCAGTGTCGCAAGATTGAATTCGGCCATGGCGGGGGTGTCGGGCGAGCTCAGCGAGAGCCTCGGTTGTGGTCGTGCGTGCTTACGAGAGAGCACTTCGAGCGGCGGTGCTTGGGCGCTGAGAGACGTCTACCCCCTCCAAAAATTGAGATAGTGGGGAAGCGAAGGTGTGGGTGCGGACCGAAAAGAGATCGTAGGCTCTGAATACCAAGTGTTACGAGTGCAATTGAGCGAGCGAATTAGCACTATCGAGGCAAAACAGTACATTGGGCGAAGGCATGAGCGAGAATTATACCGTAAACCCCCGTATATAAGACCCGGGGGTATTATGATAATCGCACTCAAAAAAATGGGGGGGTCTATACATATGACATACTTTTTATAAGACCCGGGTCTATTCAAATTGACTTTTATAAGACACATGCTTTTGACCTCAAACAAGTATTTTCGAATTGCTCTGTTTGTAGCACCTCCCAAAGATACTCCGCGTGGTCTCCACGAGTGCCAAACCCACGTCATCACGAACTCTACATGGGTGCCTCCTCCCATTGGCCACAAACACCACTTAGTGTCTATGCATGTGCGTTTATGGTGGTCCTGTCTCTCCCTGAACATGGAAATGACCATTTTCTATTGCATTTGCTGAAAATCCGGAATTCTCTAGGGTGGAGGGGGGGGGGTCTTATATTGTCAGGAGCCATTTAGGGGGGTATAACTCGCATATACTCGAATAGAGTACCCCCCCCCCCCCCCCCCCCCCCCTCCGTATTATAGACCCGGGGGTCTACAACTGGAGGGGGTCTTATATACGGGGGTTTACGGTATAACGAAAGCCGCAGTGGTAACGGTAATGAATGTTGAAAGAGTAGATTAAGTTAAGCCTAGGGTTTAGGCGTAGGAAGGTAGCGAGAGGAAAAGTGCAAGCCAAAAGAGGGGTGTTCACTATAGAGCGAGCAGTACAAATAGGCAGGAATCAAGAAAGGTGCACCACCAAACAGAAAGTTATATGACTACAGTATTCTACACTACAGGCAGTTATAGAACAATATATAAAATTATATATTATTCTGACACGCCCCCATAAGTGCCTGTAGGGAAGAATGTGCAATCAACGCCCCCATAATGGGGTACACCAGACAGAGTGCAGCGGAAGAAACAGTGGCAGGCAAAAGCAGTGATAGCCGGTGCAGAAGTGGCAGATACAGCTGTAGCCAACCCTCAGCCAAGGCAGAAACAAAAGCAGGTGTAGGGGCGGCAGGTCGCCTGAGGAGCAGGCTCTGTGGCTGCAACGTGCAGCAGGACAGCAGCGGCTCGACGGCAGCACCTGCAGGCCCCAGCAGCAGGCAGCAGAAACAAGGGCAGGTGGCGGCAGGGGCGGCAGCAGGAGGTTCCACGGTAGCAGCAGGTGGCAGCTGCAATTTCCTAACTGACTTTCGCCACCCTCTCTTACCCTCCCCCCCACAGCAGCACGAGCGGCAGTGAGAGAGAGAGGAGGGGCGGCTGCTGGCTTTGCAAAATCTCTCTCGCCACCCCCTCACCCTCCCCCTCCCCCCACGGGTGCACGAGCAGCAGTGAGAGGGAGGAAAAGGCGAACGACGGCGGCAGGAGCTGCGTTACCCACGTGCCACCCCCACACCCTCCCTCCTCCCTTTCACTGGTGTACGAGCAGCAGGTGCGGGGCAGGGGAGCGGCGCAGTTGCGCGCAGCTGTACGCGGCTGCGCGCTGCTGTTCGCGGCTTTATGCGGCCGTACGCAGCTGCGTGCAGCTGTTCGTGGCTGCGGCTGCTCGTAA